CCAATGAACACAGTGAACACTGGTTTGTCCGTTTTCATGATGGAGAGGAAGCAACAGGCACCCCCAGGTTTCTCCCTGTGGGGACAGGCTTTCCATACCTCCGCATCAGCCCTGTCCAGCTCCTCCTGCAAGCGCAGATTATCTTCCTCCAGGTGAGCCTCATGGCTTCCAGGAACCACAAGAGCACTCCTAAAGCATGCAAAATTTCATCAGAAACATGTCTGACCCTGCATCAGTTTTCCCCTGCTTGCTCCCAAAACAGCTCTTCCCCCCTTTCCTACCAGCTCCGGGAAAGCAAAGCCAAGTCCATGGAAGCATTGGAGAATTTCTCTTCCAAGGGGCCTCCCTAAAGCAGCCTCAGCTACCAGCTCAGGCCTTGCTGTTCAGGGCTCCTTGCACTGCTCTTCAAAGTCCCCCCACATGCAGCTGCACAAACTCCCAGGGCAAGCCCTTCGACCCCCTGACCATCTCCATGGCAGGAAGTTTTCTCCTTCTGTGCTCGGAGCCCCTCGTGTCCCCTGGGACAGTGTTGCTTCTCTTTCCCCCAACGCTTCCCTTCAGAGCACTTCACGCCCCAACTCTGCCGTGCCTTAAACCCCCCTGGCCTGCAGAGCAGCCACGCTGCTGAGCTACTGGCAAGTTTCCCCGGGGCTCTGGCTCTGGGTGGGGAGAGGGCACCACAGACAAGGCTTTCTTGCAGACCTCAGCGGGCAAAGGACGAGAGCCCCTGAGGTACGAGAGCAGCCAAGGGCAGACCTGCATTTACCAGTCCCATGGGGAACTGCTTCCACGGGGCTGCTCCTTCTTTTGCCCAGCTCATTGCCACGCCCCTCGTCTGGGTCACACTTGCAGACTACCCAGAACACCCGGGGGCTGTTTTGACAAAGCCCTCACCTTTCCCCCTGGGCTTGAGCAGGCCTGTCAGCTGCTTTGTTCACAAGGCACTCCAGAATCTCCTCATGCTGTTGCAAGGCTGCAAGTTTCAAGGGGGTAAATCCCCACTAAAAGGAGAAAGAATCCCCATTAGAAAGACACAGACAAGCTCTGCAGCTGTTGGAAAGAGCAGCTTTAGCCACGTGCCAAGGTTACCTGGTTCTGAGCATCACTGTTGGCATGATGCTCCAGTAACAGCCCTGCTACAGCTGTGTTTTTAGAGAGCACAGCCAGGTGAAGGGCAGTGTTGCCGTCAGCGTCTGCCAGATTGGGGTCGGCACCGTGTTCCAGCAGAACAGCAACACATTCTTCCTGCTCCTGCTGGACTGCCTGGCAACAACACACCAAAAGGGAAAGGCTTCCAACTTTTCCATCCCCCTCTCTCACAACTCCCTCAGCTCCTGCGTGCTGCCATAGAAGACCATCTGCAAAGATCAGCTAACAGAGGCTGTGCCCTGCCCATTGCAATAGGCGTGTTTCTATGGCCCTGCCCTGCAAGGAATCCTGCCAGACACCTCCCCTTTAACACCCCAGCACTGAGCCCCACCTCCAAGCTCAGAAGGCATTGCACACACCTTCATCAGGGCCGTTCTCTTGAAGCTGTCAGCGAGATTGGGCTGGCTGTTCTTTCTTAGCAGATATCTGACGACATCTGCATGGCCATTGGCTGAAGCCAGATGCAGAGGTGTCCTAAAAATTAAACAGACTCTCTTAACCCAGACAGACAAAGGACGAGCCCAAGCTGTGTCTGTACCCAGCACCCTGGGGACCCTGCCCGGACTCTGCTGCTCCTGCTGCTGCTGCTGCTGCTGCTGCTGCAACCCTGCCCTGATGAGCCAGAGGGCAGAAGAGAACAGGTGAGGGCTGAGCAGCTGCAGAACAGCCCTGCAGAGAGAGCACGGCCAAGGGGCAGGTGGGCAACACGCGTTTGCAGCAGCGCTGGAGCCCGGCCGGCAGCTCCGAGCAGTGAAAAGCTCAAGAGTTCCCTGTCCCAGCTGACAGGGCAAATGTCACTTTTCAAGCCTTGTCCCTAAGAGAGGGCTGCCGAGGACTACTGCAGCTTGGCTCAGGAGCAGCCAAGCTGTGCCATCAGCGTGGCCCAGAACTCACCGCATCTCCTGGTCTGGCCTGTCGATGCCGACTACCTTGACGTACCAGCGCCAGTGCCTCAGCCAGCCCAGGTCACCGCGGGCGGCCGCGCGGTGCAGCCTGCCCAGCCCCTGCTCCCGGAGCTGGGAGGCGCTGCTGGAGCTGGTGGCAGCCCAGGGCTGCCCACTGGGGCTGCTGGAGGGCGACTGCCGTCGCTTCTTGCTCAGAAGCCACGGCATGGCCCTGCTTGGAGCTCCCAGCAGCAGGAAGGGCAAGAAGGCCCCGGCGGGCTGCCGGGAGCCAAGTGGGGATGAGGAATGGGACGGGGCGAGGTTTAGGGGGAGGGTGACAAAGGGGACGAGAAGAAGGACGGGCACAGGGTATGAAGCACAAGGCAGACGAGGTCGCCCTGCGCAGTGGTCGTGGCCTGCAGCTGCCAAGACGGCGATGCAGGCGCGCAATGCTCCCCGAGCGGGATGTGCTGCTGCTCCCCGAGAGGCTCCAGCAGCTCTGAGCGCCGGCTGCGGGCACCAACAAAGCCGTGCCCGACTGGCGCCTGTGGCGTCACAATGGCTGGTGGAAGGCTCAGCACGTCAGCGTGGGGTGTGACAGAGGCCACGGGGCAGGGTGGGGCCGGGCGGGACAGGGCAGGGCGGGGCAGGGGTGAGGGCGGCCCTGCTGGGCCTTGTGGGAAGGAGGCGGCCTGGGCCTTGTGAGGGCGGCCGGCGGGAGTGGGCACTGCCCCGCCTCAGGGCGCCCAGGGCAGGGCCCGGGACGCTCCCACCGGGCCGCAGGCTGCGGTAGGCGCTGGAGCAGCTCCCGCATCACCCGCTCTGGCTTTTTGCTTCAGCCTGGAGCCGGGCTGCCTCTGGACACACTGCCATCAAATGAGGCTCAGGACAAAGTGGGGCCACCACAGCTCTCAAGAAATACCCACCCAGCGCTCCAAGCCCGCCAGGCCAAAGTTCCAGGACAATTCCCCAACTCCTTTGTCTTGTCCCTCTTGAAGAGCAGACACCTCACCCCCCTTCCCCTCACAACTGCTCTCTCCTGCTGCTTTGCCAGATACCAACAGTGAATTTCTGCTCTGCTCCTCCACCAGCCAACAGGCAGCACACAGCAGGGCAGGAAGAAACTTTCAAACACATCTTGTCCCACTTTGTCTTGATGACAACACCAACTGAAAGATCAGAGGTTCTGCACCAGCTTTCTCAGCAGAGGGACACTACAATGGACCACAAACAGGCTGAAGAAATTTCCCTTTTTCTTTATGGGCTACAAACTGATCTGCTTCCCACGGGATCAGGGATTTGCCTGTGTTTTAAGGCTACCAGGAGCTTACTCACTATCTTCTGCCCAGAACACAAAGAGGAGGGCTCGAAAGCACTGCAAGAGTCTGGCAACTGAGTAGCAGCAATAGCTCACCTGGAGGCCATGATCTTAACACCACTGTGCTTCAAGCCTTCCCGGAGGAAAGGCACACATTTGCCTGGCCTCTGGGACAGGCTGAAGATGCAGCTGTGAGCAGAGCTGAAGGGAGCAGAGGACAGCTCTGGCTCAACCTTCAGGCCTGGCTTCTCTTTCAGCCTTGAAGATGTCTGCTGGACTGATTTGCACTCAGACCAAGGGCAGAGAGAGAAGTCTTAACTCCCGGCCCAGGAAGAAAGCCTTAAGACGCCTTCAAAAATATGACTCTCCTCATCCCTCCCACCTAGGCCCAAAGAGCTCCAATTCTGTCACCAAACACAGCAGTTCTCCTCAAATGTCGGGACAGTTGTGGCGGCCGTGCCCTTTCTGCCAAAGTTGGACAGGTCCCCACCTGTCCCAGAGGCAAGCAGAGGGAAGAAGAGGGGACAGCCTTGGGATGGGGGAATGGGAGAAGCAAAGCCAGCAGGGGGAACAGAAGAAAACGAGGACACATCCTGGAGTCTTGACGGCGACTGCCGTTGGTTCTGGCGGAGGAGCCCCTCTATGCTGTGTGTGCTTTGGCACAGGCTGCACTGTGGGTATGGCCCTGCTCTGCTGGTGGCCACTGCTCACCCTCTGCACAGAATCACGGAAAGACTATCAGTCCTTGAAGAAGGGCCCTGGAATTCCCCCCACCTGGTGGATCTGTTTGGTGGAGGGTTCCTGGGTGGAATATGGGACAGACTAGATGGGACTGACAGGGTTTTGGTTTTCCCTGGGGCACCAGCAAGGAAACAAATCTCCAAGAGTCGGGTGAATTCCCCTTCCCCCCGTTTCCCGGCACACACGGGAATCTGCTGAGGTTGGACAAGACCAAGGTGGAGCAGCTGGGTCGGGGCAACCCCCGGGATCGGTGCAGGCTGGGGGAGGAAGGGATGGAAGAACCTGCTGGGAGAGAGCTCTGGGGGTGCTGGTGGGTGACAAATGGGACACGAGCCAGCCCTCTGCCCAGAGCTGGAGGCAGCACTGCAGGAGGGGTCTCAGCTGAACGGAGCAGAGGGGCAGAACCCCCCTCCCCTGCTGCCCACGCTGTGGGATGAGCCCAGGACACGGGGGGCTGTGGGCTGTGAGCTCCCATTGCTGGCTCCCATCCTGCTTTCTCATCCTGGCTCTCCTCATGCCGTGGGTGACAGAGAAGATGAATCTTGTGCCCTTTCCTGTTTGAATAAGGAGAGGCCTCTGGGAGAAGAGTTGGATTCTGTGAATCCAAAATAAGGCGGCTCTGTCTTGGCTTCTGTTTTGGCAGCGGGTCTGAGGGTTGAGCTTTCCTTGAGAAGGCCAGGGTAGGCCAGAGTTCTTCTGGAGGTGCCACTGGCTGCTCCTTGCACTTGGTGTGATTTCTTAGAAACAGGCCCTGGGAACAAGCTCAGATCAAAGGATGTGCTGGTTTTGGACACTCTTCATGCCCTTGGCTTTTAGAAGTCGAGTAGTAGCCAAGGCTGTGGAGGGTAACTTTGCGAAAGCCTTCCTGCCAAAGATGACTCTGTGTGTGCTTGTGAATGTTTCAGAGCTACTGAGAGACTTGCAGAGGCCAACACCAAGCTTTTTGGAGTGCCACAGAAGCAGATCTGTGGTCACAAGCAGCGCTGTCAGCGGAGTTCTGGCTGCAAGTCCACTTCTGGATTCACCTGGCCTGGGACATGTTGGCCTCAGTTTGGGACTGAGCAGAAGTCTGGCTCTCAGAACACCACCCAGACACCTGTGGTAAAGCCCAAGACTTCTGCTCATCAGGTTTGTCCAGATTTTCCAGAGTGGTCAAAGGCCCAAAAAGGTTGAAATGGAAGCAATGAGCTGTGGAACTCCATTCTTTTCCAAGAGAAACTGTGGGCAAGAGCTCTGTGGCACAGGAACCTCCCACCTAAGTTCTACCCTAAATTTACACGTAGTAATCTTCTGTAGTCTGTGGGGTTTGGCAGGAAGCCAACTCCAACTGGCTACAGATGGTTTTGGTGTCAGAAGTGGGATTCTTTTGGTTCCTTTGGTTTTGTTGTGGGAACGTTGTCTGGGAAAGCTGCCAAGAGCAGGTTTGTTTTGTAAACATCCACCATTGTTTTGGGACACTCCTGGGAGAGCTGCCAAGAAGGATTTTGTTTATCTAAACATAGCTTTGTTTAGGAACAAGAAGGGAAAATAATAACAATGGCCTTTTTCCTAATTTTTTCCTGATTCTTGCTGGTTTTGTGCCTGTCCTAGTACATCCTGTGAGGGACCGTTCAGATGGATGGAACGAATTGCTTCCTTTCCTTAATTTCGACACCCACGGCCTAGTAGCCAGTTTCCTTAATGGTGACCTTCAAGGTTTGGTAGCAAAGACTCCAAGATCAGCTCTAACCCATCCCTACATTGCTCAGCGACAATGATCCTAGTGGTGAAGGCAGCGAAACTGCTACTTAAAATTGGAGAGGTGGTGCTGCATTGGTCCCCTTGTTGTACGAAAGGAATCGCTGGAGCTTTGGGGACAAGAAGTGCCAACGGCCACGACAACTGTACACAGGCAACAGTATCGGAGGAACCGAGATGCTGTGACCCCCATCCATCCATCCAGTACATCCATGACATCATTGTGGGGGGGACACAGCAGAAGAAGTTTTCGAGAAAGGACAGAAGATCATCCAGATTCTCCTCGAGGCCTGTTTTGCCATCAAGAAGAGTAAGGTCAAGGGCCCTGCCCAAGAGATCCAGTTCCTAGGGCTGAAATGGCAAATGGACGACACCAGATACCAACAGACGTCCTCAACAAGATTGTAGCAATGGCTCCACCCACAAACAAGAAAGAAACCCAAGCTTTTCTTGGAGCCATTGGCTTCTGGAGGATGCACATCCCAGAGTACAGCCAGATGGTGAGCCCTCTTTACTTTGTGACCTGTGAAAAGAACAATTTCCAGTGGGGTCCTGAACAACAACAAGCTTTCAGGCAGATCAAGCAAGAGATTGCACATGCCGTGGCTCTTGGAGCAGTCAGGACAGGACCAGAGGTAAAGAATGTGCTCTACTCTGCAGCTGGAGATAAAGGTCCCTCCTGGAGCCTCTGGCCAAAGGTGCCTGGTGAGACGTGAGGGCGACCACTGGGTTTCTGGAGCCGAAGCCACAGAGGTTCTGAGGCCAATTCCACCCCTGTGGAGAAGGAAATCTTAGCAGCCTATGAAGGCATACGAGCAGCTTCAGAGGTAATTGGTCCCAAAGCACAGCTCTTCCTGGCCCCCCAGATGGGACCCCATCATGCAAAGTGTAACTGGTTAAGGGAAAAAGGGGGTAGGGTTTATCCATTTTAGGGAAAGGGTGGCCAAAAAAGGAAATACTGCAATGCAGCAAACTTTGGCCAATCGGGGAGCGGGGTCTAAGGATACAGACATCAAGGGGATTTTTCATCAAACAATTTCAGGGGACAAACAAGGGAAAAACTACAGTAAATGTTTAGACACAACCGTAAAACTGGAAAGGCTTTGGGTCTGAACTTCCTGAAAACTTCATCCAGGGCTTTCATCCTCTGGAGGGTCACACATTTCTTGTTGTCTTCTCCAGCTTTCAGATTCAGCAATGTCCTCACTCCCGACAGACCAGGGTCCCCTTTCCAGAGTAATGGAGGAGCACCGTGATTTTTTAATCCAAAATTCCCGGATTGGAATGAAATGCTCTGGAAAGGCTCTGGAAATCATTGGGTGTTCACAGTGAGTCTCTGGTTTCCCATCCCCTGCTTCAGATGTGAAAACATGTTCCTTGCAGTCGGAATGTAAACTCATCAGCTCCATTAAACTTGAGCACTATATCCCATCATCCAGATCATCAATGAAGATGTTCACCAGGAATTGCTGATCACTGGCCTCCAGCTGGATGTTGCACTCCTGATCACCACCCCAGCCAGCAGATTTCAACCAGCCTGCTGTCTGCTCATCCAGCCCATACTTCATGGGCTTCTCTGTGAGGGAGCCCTGTCTGTGTGCACTAGTACACACATTCATTTGGATTTTAAAAAATCAAACAGAAGTGATTGTTTTAACAGCACAATTATTTTTCAAAGGGAAATAGAAGGGTAAGAGTTTTTAATTTTAATGATCATGTTTTACATGATGCTAATTGACCTCTAGTAGAAATGAGAGAGCACCTTAAGAGACAAATCTACATTCTCTATTTATGCCTCTGAATTACAGGTATGGCTTTGATGGAACGAGTGCCTTCAAGCTCCATTGGCAGGCACTGTTTGAAAACTATTTGGGTGATTTTTGATAAGAAATGAAAGATACAACAGCAGGAAGCCATTCAGCAATCCCTGACAAGGGAGGTCCACTGTCAATTGCTGGGAGGGCCCCCACCTGTTTCTTTTAATGGTGCTCCCAAATCCCACCCCTTGGGCCTCCCATCCCATCCTTTTTGGTCCCTCAGGCATCTCCTCCCCAGGATCTGCTCTGTGCCCTACCCAGGGTCCCCAAATATCCTCCCATTAATCATTCCCAAAGCTTTTCTTTCCATCCTTCCCCTCAGACCTTTGCCTTTCACCCAGGCCACTGCCCTGGTACCTCCCAAGACCATTCCTTGACTCCCTCTCCACTCCCAACCATCTCCCAGTGCCCTCGTTTTTGTCCTCCTCCATCCTCCTCCTCCTGTCCCCACCAAGCCTCTCCCTTGCAGTCCCCATGTCCCCACACTTGAATTCCTTTCCCCTCCCCTGCATCCCACACAGGGCCCCTTCAACACCCCAATCCCAGTCCCGTGGGCTCCCCAGTTCCCCCCAGTTCAGCATCTTTGGGTCCCCCCCAACCTCCCCCCACCCTCCCTGCAGGCCCTGAATTCCCCTGGCTCTCCTTGTCTCCATCCCAACCCTGGGCCCTGCAGGAACTGGGATCCCAGGGGAAACTGGGTGCAGTGGGGCTGGGGGGAGCAGAAGGGATTTTCCCCCTCAGACGGGGGGCAGCCCTGGGCTGGGGGGGCTGGGGACCCCCGTGTCCCTCCCCCAGCCCCACAGGGGCCAATCCTGCTTAACCCTTTGCTCTCCTTGCCCAGGCACTCTTGGCAGGAACCCAAAATGATCTGCGGGAGGTGAGTGGGCCGGGGGGACTGGAGGGCATCCAGTCTGGGAACTGGGGGACACTTTGGTCCCCCCATCCCTCGCTGGCACCGGGGACATCCCAGTGACCAGCCAGGGCTCCTGGTCTCTCTCCAGCTGCATTTAGTGGACGTTGGGATCCTGAAGATGGCTCAGGTGGGTACCAGGAGTTCTGCCTGAGTTGGGTCCTCCCCTCACATGGCCATGACACTTCTGGCCATCCCAGTCTGCCCCAGTATACCCCAGTGCACCTTCCCCAAGGATCCCATTTCTTCCCCCAGGCTCCCAATACATCCCACTACACCCAGTGTGTCCCTAACCCTGTCTTTGTCCCCAGCCCCCTGTGGTGGAGAAGGTGCTGGGTCCTGTTGGTGAGAAAGGCGTGGCTGCATCCCTGGGTGGCTGAGGTGAGCAGTGCCTGCAGGGAGAGGGGTCAGGACAAGGCCCCTCTCATGTTGCAGTGGACTTTGGGGGTGACATTTGGGGCTCTGTCTTTCAGGACTGGTGGTGACACCCGTGCCCTGTCCCCCTCCAGTGGCATGAGGAGATGATCATCCCTGGAAGAACCCCCTGCTTTCCCTCAGAGCCCAGGGCCATTTCCCCTGAATGATCAATAAATCCCTTCAGCAAAGCTACTCTGCTTGATCTTGTGTGTGTGTTCCCAACTTCATGTGTGTGTTCCCATCTCCATGTGTGTGTTCCCATCTCCATGTGTGTGTTCCCATCTCCATGGGTGTGTTCCCATCTCCGTGTGTGTGTTCCCATCTCCATGGGTGTGTTCCCATCTCCATGGGTGTGTTCCCATCTCCGTGTGTGTGTTCCCATCTCCATGTGTGTGTTCCCATCTCCATATGTGTGTTCCCATCTCCATGTGTGTGTTCCCATCTCCGTGTGTGTGTTCCCATCTCCATGGGTGTGTTCCCATCTCCGTGCCTGCATTCCCATGTCCATGTCCCCTCCTTCTCCAGCCCCTGCACACCCGGTGCCTCTCTGGCCGCTCCCCTGCCATGAGCAGAGAGGCTCAGGGGGCTCCTGGGGGTCTCTGCACACGAGATCCCCTTCACCCCCTCGATGTGCATCCTGAGCAGTGCAGGTTGGGGCATCATGGAATGTCCCTGCTGGGGGCTGGGACAGGCAGGGGGCACACGGGGCAGCCCCTGGAGCACCTGGACCTCCCCTGTGCTCTGGGAGGGATGGGAAAGGGGATCAAAGGAGCCAGCGGGTGTCAAATGCCCCCAGATCTCAAGGGCCAGGCTCGGGGCTGAAGGGATGGAGAGCAGCCCTGCATCCAAGGCCATGGGGATAGTGGGGGATGAAAAGCAGGATGGGAGCCAGCAATGGGAGCTCACAGCCCACAACCCCCCCGTGTCCTGGGCTCATCCCACAGCGTGGGCAGCAGGGGAGGGGGGTTCTGCCCCTCTGCTCCGCTCAGCTGAGACCCCCCTGCAGTGCTGCCTCCAGCTCTGGGCTCCTCTGGCTGTCTGCAACGCACCCGCCCGCAATGGCAATGGCTTGGGGGGATTCCCCTGCCAGCCCTGGCATCTCCTGCAGCTCCATGGGCTCCTCAGCACAGCAAAGACACGCACCTCTTGGGGCACTTCCAGAGGAGGCCACCAAGGGGATCCCAGGGCTGCAGCACCTCTCGCATGGAGACAGGCTGAGAGAGTGGGGGCTCTTCAGCCTGCAGAAGAAAAGGCTGTGGGGAGACCTCCTTGGGGCCTTCCAGTACTTCAAGGCAGCTTTTTAGAGACATGTGGGCAAAGGGTTCAGTCGGGCCTGTCACAATAGGACAGGGGGAGAGTTAGACTAAAAGAGGGGAGGTTCAAACTAGAGAGATGGAAGAAACATTTGATGATGAGAATGAAACACTGGAACACATTTGCAGGGAGGTGGTGGATGCCCCATCCCTGCAAACATTCAAGGCCAGGTTGGATGGGGCTCTGAGCAAGGTGATGTAGGAAAGATGTCTCTTCTCCCCCTCCAGGGGATCCCCCGCCCTGTGCTCTTGGCCAGGCCCCAAATCCATTTGGAACCAGAGGGCAGGAAAAATCCCACAGGAGGGACTGCAGGAACAAGAGGAATTTCCCCAGGTGCTCCCAGCTCTGCTCAGGGGGAAGGAAGGAGACAGTCCAGGGGGGATCAGATGCACCTCAGGCACCCTGCTCACGTCTCTCGTCCATCTCTCTCTCAAACACCACACTGGGGACATTTCCCTCTTCCAATGAGCTGCTGATGCCACAGTATGGATGGTCCAGAGTGGGATCATTGGTGTTGAGGGGCTGTAAATGCCTCCCTCTTGAGAGACTTCACCTCCCCTGGGCCTCTTCCCTGTCAGCGTTCCTCAATTATCCAACAAACGAGGCACGAAGCAGAAAAGGGCAAAAGGAAAATCTTCCAGGTCACTGCCGGCTCCTGGGGAAAATGCAAGGCAAACAGTCAAGTCATTGAGCTGAGATGTTTTCCCAGCTGCCCCACAATGGTCTCTTGTGTGTGGTCAGGGGCCCGTAAGGATGGAAGGTGTTGCGGAAACGTGGCCAAAGGTGAGTGGAGAATTGAGGCTGTGGCAGGTGGCGGGAGCCCCCGCTCAGTGCCTGTCCTTGATCTGTGCCCACGGGGGTCCCAGCCCAGAGGGGCCTGTGAGGCGGGTGGGGAGGGAGGGAGAGTGGGGCGGGAAGGTGCCATCCTGCTGAGGGCCAGCGCTGGGCCCAGGGCAGGGCAGGGCCATCCCTGGGGACAGGGGCACTGGGGCAGCTGTGTGCCAGGGCCAGCCCAGTGTGGAGCCAGAGCCCTGCTGGGCTGCCAGTGCCTGGCCCCCCCTGCCTGGGCCAGCTGAGCAGAGCGGGGCCCGGCTGATGCGGGAGGACACGGTGTGCCCAGCTGGGACAGGGGCAGGGCCAGCAAAGGGCATCTGCCCCTCTGGGCTCTGCTCGGGGAGGCCGTGGCTGGGCCTGCACCACTTGGGGGCTGCAGTGCCCGCAAATGGGCTGGAGCCGGGCACTGCCACCACCCCAGCACTTCCCTGGGCCCAGCCCTTGTGTGCCAGGGCCAGCATTGCCCAGTGCTCCCCAGTGCCTGCCCAGACTGGAGATCCCAGTCACCCACCTGTGCCCATTGCCCGTCAGCCCCTTTATCTCCCAGCTCCCTGTTTGTATGTGACATCACATCCTTCATATGCTTCCTGTGACATCACATCCTCCTCTGTGACATCACATTCTCTTCTATGACATCACATCCTCCTCTGTGACATCACATCGTCCCTCTGACATCCCACCTTCCTCTGCGACATCACATCCTCCCCTGTGACATCACATCGTCCCTCTGACATCCCACCTTCCTCTGCGACATCACATCCTCCCCTGTGACATCACATCCTTCCTCTGACATCACATCCTTCACATCCTTCTTCTGACATCACGTCCTCCCTCGGACATCTCACCCTCCTCTGCGACATCCCACCCTTCTTTTCAACATCACATCGTCCTCTGTGACATCACGTTCTCCTCTATGACATCACATCCTCCTCTGTGACATCACAGCCTTCCTTTGACATCACATCCTCGTTTCTGAAGTCACATCCTTCCTGTCATTCTTTTCCTCCCCTGTGACGTACCGTCCTCCCAGTGACGTCACGTCCTTCTCTGTGATATCACGTCCTTCTATTTGACATCACATCCTTCCTGTGACATCACATCCCCCACTGTGACATCACATCCTTCATATCTTCCCGGTGACATCACATCCTTCCGGTGACATCACATCCCCCTCTGTGACATCACATCCTCCTCTGTGACACCACATCCTCCCTTTGATATCACATCCTTCATATCCCCCCTGTGACATCACATCCTTCCGGTACCATCACATACTTCATGTCTCCCTGTGACATTACATCCTCCCTTTAATATCACATCCTTTATATCCTCCCTGTGACATCACATCCTCCTTGTTACATCACATCCTCCTTTGTTATATCATATCATTCCTGTGACATCACATCCTCCTCTGTGACATGACATCCTCCACTGTGACATAACATCCTTCATTGTGACATCACATCCTTCCTTGTGACATCACATCCTTCGTATCCTCCCTGTGACAAAAAATCCTCCTCTGTGACATCACATCATCCTCTGTGACATCACATCCTTCATATTCTTGCGATGACATCACATCCTCCTCTGTGACATCTCATCTTTCACATTCTTGCTGTGACATCACATCCTCTTCTGTGATGTCACATCCTCTCTGTGACATCACGTCCTCCTCTCCGACATCACATCATTCTCATCCTTCCCATGAAATCACATCGTCCCTGTGACATCACCTCCTCCTCTATGACATCACATCCCTCCTGTGTCATCACATCTCTCCTTTGACATCACATCCTCCCCAAGACATCACTGCTCCTCTTGTGACATCAATGGTCCCCTATGATGTAAAATCTGTTATATGACATCCTTCCTGTGAGATCACATCTTCCTCTGTGACATCACACCCTTCATATCCTCCCTGTGACATCACATCCTCTTCTCTGACATCACATTATTCACATCCTTCCTGTGACATCACATCGTCCCAGTGACATCACATCCGTCCCAAGACATCACGTTCTCCCCTGTGACATCACATCCTTCATATCCTCCCTGTGACATCACATCCATCACATTCTTGCTGCGACATCACATCCTCATCTGTGACATCACACCCTTCACATCCTCCCTGTGACATCACATCCTTCATATCCTCTCTGTGACATCACATCTCCTTCTGTGACATCACATCCTCCACTGTGACATCTCATCCTCCTCTCTGACGTCACATCATACCTGTGACATCACATCCTCCTTTGTGGCATCACATTCTTCCTGTGACATCACATCCTCCTCTCTTACATCGCATCCTTCACATCCTTCCTGTGACATCACATCCTCCTCTGTGACATCCTCATGTCCTCGGCTTCCCAGAGTCCCTCAGTAGCTACACGAGCTTAGAGGGAATGAGACTCATCAGGAGGTGTCTGTCCTGTTGTCCTGATTTTGACTGGGATAATGGACTGGTTTACAGTCACTGCCCACCACAGGGACTTGTCTCAGCACAGAATCCTGGAATCATGGACTGGCTTGGGTGGGAAGGGACCTTAAAGCTCATCCCGTGCCACCCCCTGCCATGGGCAGGGACACCTTCCACTAGCACAGGTCGCTCCAAGCCCCGTCCATCCTGGCCTTGGACACTTCCAGGGATGGGGAACCACAGCTTCTCAGGGCAACCTGTGCCAGGGCCTCCCCCCTCACAGGGAAAACTTTCTTCCCTATATCCCCCTAAGCCTGCCATCTGTCAGTGGGAAGCCATTCCCCCTTCTCCCATCACTACAGGCCCTTGGCCAAAATCCCTCTGCAGCTCTCTGGGAGCCCCTCGAGGCACTGGAAGGGGCTCTAAGGCCTCCCTGGAACCTTCTCTTCTCCAGGCTGGACAATCCCAATTGTCCCAGCCTGTCCCCAGAGCAGAGGGGCTCCAGCCCTCCGAGCATCTTTGTGGCCTCCTCTGGATCCACTCCAACAGGTCCATTCCTCCTGATCTGGGCCCCCCGAGCTGGAGGCAGCACTGCAGGTGGGGTCTCACCTGAGGGCAGCAGAGG